GCAAGACTTTGAATTTACAACATACAATCATTACCAACGTATTATTCGCATTAGGTGCCTACATTTTCGTATCGATCATTAGTGCAGAAGTTTTACGATCGGCTCTTATTTCAAAAGTTTGGCCTTGATTTTGATTAGTATTGTAAGTTAACCGACTAGCTCAGACACTGGAAATAACTAATCGGACACCATGGATCTTTCAAAAGCATTAGCAGTAGGTAAATATTCCTGCGTGACTTATCACTCACTCGTAGTACTGCTTCAAAGAGACACGAAGGCATATTTACCTGTAATGTATTCACTAAAAGTTAGTGCGATTCCACAAACTATCGATAACACATTCCTCATCATGATCATTTACATAGCAATCTACAGTTTCTACTGCTTGTAAGTGACCATGATATTCTTAAATCGTCAATCATTTCAAAGACTCACCATACTAAGATATGGAAATCGATAAAGAGTGAAGTTGACCATCTACAATTTCAAACAGAACCGGAAAGTCATATGAATGGTCTGAAACCTTACAGCTGTCGATTAATGCTTCCAGGAGCATTATGAACTGCACCTAGAACCCCTGTGGTATTACTGTCGGTCCCAAGCCCGGACAAACAAGGGCTGGCATCAATAAAGTGACTCCATCCCGTAGAAAACCAACTCACTAAAAAAATGCTAGTTAGAAAAAGTAATTCAAGCTATTTAGACTCTACCTTGGCAGTTGTACCTGGGTTTCTGCGGAAGCCACGAGGCCTATGAGTCTTCGTACAACCAGAGCAGTGATTAAAATAGGCACATTGAATGTTCGTACATTGTGTTTGGAGAATTAGGAAATCAAGCAAGTTGCTGCAGAAACGAAAAGATTCAACCTGGTGGTGACGAAACACTTTGGAAGCAGGTTAGGTAACAAGTACTAGTTTAAGCAAAGATGCTCTTTGGAAAAGCAACCAAACCAAATAAAATGCCTGACACACAAGGAGTTGCTCCGACGCTGTCCAAAGAAGCACACGATGCCCCTTTTAGTTGAGGTTCTCATGGACTGCGGATCATCTAGACCTCCTTCTTAACAAAGAACGAGGGACTTAAATCGAACGTTATTCAGTGCTATGAGCCTACCAATGATACAAGTGAAGACACTAAAGATCGATTCTATGGAAGGTATCAGATCATACTACACAGAACCAGACTGACGATGCCTACATCAATAAAAAGTTCGGCGGGACCATGGTGGAGTTACAAACGAAGAGAGTAGTTGACATGGCTTCATATCATCACTCGGTGGAAGCCATAATGAAACTAAAACTAAAGAACCATTGGACAACTGGTGGAAGAGCATCCTTTGAATATTGACAAACTCAACAAATTCAAAACAGCATTCAGCAATAAGTCTCAAGCCTATCTAAATCTAGTCATTTGAGAGGAAGCTTCCTTGGAGAACAGTTAGAAAGGGATCAAAAAAGCTCTAACCTTTACTTGTCGTGAGGTTTTGGACCGCGAAAAGCACCATCAAAATGGATGGATCTGTGCGGATATTCTGGATAAGATTGAAGAAAGGAAGTACAAGAGGGCAGCAGTCAATTTCAGCAGAAAAATAGCAGAGGAAGCTAAGACACAAGCACTGAAAGCAGACGTACTGGTAACTGCAAAGATGCTTCACATTCTTTATAGCAGGATTTGAGATGAAGAACAAGTACAAACAGACTGCAATTAGAAACATTTCATCAATCTACCAAAGAAAGGCGGTCTCAACAAGTATGTAAACTACAAAGGCATCGCTGTTCTCTTGTAGTGCCTCCACATAAACTTGAGTTCGCTCATATTTAATTTGATTGTATCATGTCCTTTTTGCTTAACTCGCAATAAACTATATCAAAGCAAAAATTCAGTGATCACTTTGAACGTGTCCAATATTAGTAACAGAACAGTTCTACCGAAACTTCAAAATACCCTAAACGAAACAGTCTGAGCTTTACATTCGAAGCTTTCCCTCCCTCATAATAGCGTTCTAAACTCCGAAGAATATGGTTAATAAGTGTTCTGTAACTGAAAACTGACAAATGCGATCCCGACAAGATAGGATCAAAGATCTGCCGACAAGGATTTCAAAAATCATTTTCGGCAGGCAGTCGAAGCTCATCCAAAGAAGCATGCTATAGTCAGACAAGACAAACTGGTCAAGGGCTCGGCAAAAAGTAAAGTAATGTGGATAAGAATTAACCAAAGTCGAATAATAATGGCTGAGAAAAATAAAACCGTTGCAAAATTCCTGAATAAAAGTTAAATATAAAACATGGTGAAAGGGAAGAGAAATGACAACTCTGTCCTGTAGGAAGCTTTGTAGGGATTTTCAGAGCATTCTCTTCGTCGCATGCATCCTGAGGCATTTTATTCTCCAAAGTACCATTATATACACTGTGCATAAAATTGAGCCTCCTATTATCCATAGAAACCATGGCCTAGATGTCCCCGATATCCGTGAATTGAAAGCTACCTTGTAATGCCTTGCGACAGCCACCAGAGTTATTAGAACCCTATGGTCTATACGTAGAGCCTTTCGCCAGATCCGGACTAGGATATTTGTATACAGCATTCGTCCGTCCTAAATTTGAGTAATTTTTACAAACAGGCAGCTCCTGTCTACAAAAGACAGCATATTGTTGAATGGAGTTCGAACCGAAACCAAACTAATTCTCGGAATCGTTGGGTTGCCTTATGATGACCAAGCTGCCCTACTGTTAAGTGTGAATCTTCTAAATGTTGATATATTACGTTTCTGTAACGTTTATGGTAATAACAGTTAAATTCAACCTCTTATTTAAGGCTTTTAGAGTTAGTTGCTTTTATGAGGCATATTTATACAAGGTTTATTCAGCTTTCGCGAGATGCATTTTAATTTTTGGCTGGGGATCTGTGTAATTACACTCACCGTTACCTCTCCATCTTTTTCTACATTTACGTTTGCTGATCTGTTGAAGCTTTGTTACTTTTGCTGTCGCTGATCAAAGTTACGGTTACATTTCCAGAGTAATTGTAGCTAAGTTATAATTTTTGACAGTTTGTGGTTGGCTGTTTAAAATTTTGCAGTTTTGTCTGTATCATTCTGATTGGATTTATCATCCAGTTATCGATGCTCTAGACTACTTTGCCTCTGCTGGTTTGCAGTGTGACAAGTGTGAGATATGGTTTCGTGAATTACGCACCATATTTTCCACAGCCGCATACGATCGTCGTTGTCAACTATCGACCATGTTTTTATGCATAGAACGTTGACTTAGCAAGGCGATTGTCTCAGATGAAGCCTTAGAGCTTCTCATTCTGAAGGAGTGCTCGGTAACGATGTCCACTCACTTGGTCTGATGTCAGGCGACAATGAAACAACAATTGTGACTGCTGGTGATGTTTGCCCAGCTCCTTTTACTGATTAAAGGGCTGAATCAAAATCAAGAAAGATCTTGAAGCTGGCATTTGGATGTAAGGAGGAAAGGGATATTGAATTTAATGGCAGCCACAGAAATCTTCACTCAAACATTAGAATCCAATCAGATTGATCACTTGAAGATCGATTGAAATGGAAGATTGCCCATAATGAGTTAAAACTCAAAACAGTATGATGATTGGAGCCTTAGGATCCAGGGTTTTCGGGTATTCAGAACTTGGAAGCTTGTTCTTCCAAGACCTATTTGGGTAGAAAGAGTGATTCCTGGAACACCTTTATTTTGTGCTGAGAAATAAAACGCCCGAGCTAAGTCTAATGACGTACAAATTAAGTCCTGATATATTCGTTGTTCTGACATAAAATTTGTCTACGCATGATAGTGCGAACCTGTTGGGCAAACATAATCAGCAACAACCTACCGTCAAAAGTGTTGCACCGCATGCCTTCATCGTCGGTCCCTTATTGATTTTTCTCCACGTCAATGAATTACATTTTGCGGACGATATCAAGAAATGGAGAGCAACATGTGGAAAGACTGATCAACCTGATCTAAAAGCTGATCTGGACAAATCCGTTAAACAGTCCTATAGTTAGGGCTTAGAAATTAATTCTGGAAAGTGTATGCACTTCCGACACGGCATTAGTTGCACTGTCAAAGGAACATAACTACTACGAGTGGAGTAACTAAAGGGATCAGGAGTAATTATAGGTCATGACTTGGAAACAGCTGAGCATTGTTATATAGCAGCCTCCAAAGATTTCTGGTTGTTTTAGTCGCTTCATGGAACATTCAAGTGCATTGGCGAAGATATGTTTCTGGTTTTACACCCCATTCATATGAGAACTCATGCGGATATTGCAGGCCAACGGCCATTCTTTGTCTGACTAAAGATGCTATCAGACTTGAGCGTGTTGTAACCAAGTCAATGACTAATCATTTTTAACTCTTTCGTGATGTGGAATTCAAACAACCAAATCTTTTACCGTAATGTTATCTTAAAACGTTCAGTGACCTTATTTCGGCATTCAGCGTGATGAATATCTATTCCGGTGGCTTTATGTCTCATCTTTTTGCTCTCCCTACAGCTAATCATCTCCAGGCCATTGCATGAAGACCCAACAACAGGGATCAAATAAACTCAAAGTAGGATCCTAATTTTTCACATTGAGTGACCAATGACTAGAAAGCGTTAACCGGGTAAATGGTACCTGCCCAATCAGTGAACTTTTTAAAGGAGAAACCGGACCCTCATTAGAAAACTGTTTGCAAAGATTACAACAGACCAACAGACATAAAAAAGCTGAGTATTAACAAAATACCCATGGAGTACAGGTTTCCACAACAAGTCATCAACTCCTGAAACCTATAAGATAAAGCGGTAGTATTAGCACCTTCGGATGACTCATCCATGAGAAGACTGTACACTCTAAGAAGCTTACTAGGATAGGACCAATAAAGACCTCAAGCCTTCTGTTCTCATCTAAAAAAATCCAAGTTTCGGTCTAAAACCAATATTCATTGACAGTTACGACAGCGTTTAACTGTTTTGGTCAGATGACGTCGACAGTTAGCGGTACATTTGGACTCATTGACCTTGGTGTTCGTCATTCAAAGAGCCTACCTGGGACTTTTGACTTGCCTGAAATGCAAAGAGCTTCGCATTCCCTTTAAGTCTCGAAATATTGTGAAAATATATACCCAAAGAAATTTGTTGTCTCAACTTATTTTCAATACGGTTGGTTTTGTTTCCGTACTAAGCTTCAAATATTTTAAATTATTTGCTAACTCCTGCTGTAGTTGTAGGATTCATGTTGGTGTATTTGCTGCATAAAAATAATATGAAATTGAACGGCATTTCTTGGTAGATATGTTAGTGTGGCATTTTTGTTTGTGGACTTGTTTTTTAATCTAGCTCGTCTCTTTCCATTAGGTTACTCAGTCGGTACGTTCTCAATATTAGATACCTTGTTAGTTTCACACTGGCAGCAATAGATAATCCCAAAAAAAACCTGAACGGTTATCAGTGTAGTTATCGATGATCTCAGTCTTGGAATACCGTTTGTCTTATTAGTTTTATGTTACTATTTATAGCTGCTTATGCTCACTATTTGCAGACCGTTAAGATACGTTGTCTAGATTCCAGTTTCTTCTTTCTCTGTCTGTAAGATATTCATAGGTCCTGATATTGCCGTTATCTAGTGTCCGTGTTGTCCAAAACAATTGTGTATTCCAGTTTATAGTTCGAAATTTTCCAAAAACTAAGTACATCTACTATTATTGGATTTGAACTGACAATTGCGTCTCTGTGCCAGTGTGGAATGGCAACTTGAACTGATGTACCTACGTACGGAGTTCTACGTTGTGACTGACGAAGAAACTAAAGCAAACTTAAGATCACCTGATGGTCACGGGTTCTCAACCTGAAATTGACTTTTCTGTTTATCTTTAGCGCCTATCTACAGTTACTAACCTGTTTTGCGTTACAGCAGCCATTTGCTGTAGTTCACAGATCAACAGCCCGTTAAACTGGTTCAAATAGAATAGGTTTACTAAACATGACACTTAGTGTCTCTGTCACTGATTATTCGATGATTGTTCTATAGATTTTTGCTCATCTGGGATCGTATTTCAAATTGGTTTCGGCATGTTTCTTATCTCTTTAATAGTTTTTATACCACTAGCTTGTAAATCAAAACTCAACAATTTTTTTGTTTTCAATCAATTCATGTTCATTACTATCATTCTACTCTGTTGAATGTTGTATGTTCACACTACTGATTAATTATAATCACTGCTCTCTATATGAAATCTATTTTAGATGGATGTGGCTAAGGTTTTACGCATCAGCACTGAAAAACAAGCTATCCTTTTGCAACTGTCTGTGGTGTGTATTGCTGCTATTTTAGGTAGGTTGTTGCTAATTTCTAATTAAAATAAAGCTTTTGCTATTCGACTCTATTCCGTTATTCGTTTCGAATCGGTTATTCATGAATTTGATCCTTATTTTAATTATCGTACTACACGTTTTATGACTGAGAATGGATTTTACCAATTTCATGATTGGTTCGACGATATGGCATGGTATCCACTCGGTAGAATTATTGGAGGTACAATATATCCTGGTAGGTTTATGAAAATTTCATAATATTCCATAGGACTTATGTTGACATCGTCTTTCATATACTCACTACTTCATGCTATCAATGTTACAATGGATATACGAAACATTTGTGTGTTTTTGGCTCCTTTGTTTTCAAGGTGAGATTGTACAATAATTTATCTTCAAAGTTTTACAACTATAGTAACCTTTTTACTGACAAGCGAGATTCAGGACACTGGCTCTGGTCTAATAGCTGCTGCTATGGTTGCAATCGTACCTGGTTACATTAGCCGATCAGTTGCAGGTTCTTATGATAACGAAGGGATTGCTATATTCTGCATGTTATTCACATTTTATTTGTGGATTAAAGCTGTGAAAACTGGTTATTTATTCTGGGCTTGCGCTTGCAGCTTAGCATACTTTTACATGGTTTGTTGTTTATTCTCACGTTTATCTATTCTAGGTTTCTTCTTGGGGTGGATATGTATTTTTAATAAATATCATACCTATTCATGTATTAATACTCATGCTTACAGGAAGATTTTCGAGTCGTCTTTACACAGCCTATTCTACTGTAATTTTACTTATTTAAACGAACTTCTCTGTAGGTTTATGTTCTAGGTACTATACTGTCAATGCAAATTAGTTTTGTTGGTTTCGCCCCTGTAGTATCCAGTGAACATATAGGAGTAAGTTTCTCATTATTGTTTCCAGTTTCATTTTAGGCTCTCGGGGTGTTTGGATTATGTCAACTCTTTGCCTTTTATACATACCTTCGTGGAGCTTTGTCTTCTGAACAGCTGTCAACAGTTCTGCGTGTTTTCGGTTTATCATTGTTCGGCATAGCGTTGATTGGCGGTTCTGTATTATCTGCTACAGGTACCACTTCTAATTAAACTTATTCAATCTGTTCATATCTTCTGTGAATTTTTTTGAATAAAAAATTAATTTCGGTTCACCAATAGTCGGAAGTTTTATTGATGATGTACTAACTAGTTCTTCAAGATTTCGTAGGACTTGCCTATCGTGATGACACGACCTGCCTATATTGACTGGGACATTTTCCTTTAGGTCCTACCATGCTAGGCAAGTTTATTGGAGAATGGTGAGATTAATAGCAGCAACTCAAGGTCTGAAGGCAAAGTCGTACTGCTGACTGTAGAGGAGTGTAACAGCAGTAAGATGTTTCCCTCGGTCAACCAACATCTACAGTGATGCTGCCTTCGTAAAACTAAAGGAAGAAATTAAAAAAGGTCGACCATAAAGATTCCACACCTCACCTTACTCCATGAATTTCCGACTCTGGTGGTAAGACATTTTCAAAAGCGGAGCTAACATGTTAAAAATTCCCACAGAAAGTTCGTACGTTACCGGCCCGGAGCAGTTGTCTCTTGGGACTCTGTGATAATGTTCTCAGGTCGCTAAGACCAACGCTAACCCAATTCCTTTGTCAGGTTCCTCCACTCTTATTTAACTTTGTCATCAGTGTACTTTTAGAGACGACACTTTCATCGTCTGTCTTCTCAGTTCGCCTCCTACTGAGAGATTCACTTGTTCACTCAGAATATGTAGATGACATATCTCTATTTGGCGAGGACACTGACAAAATGAAGTCTTCTGAACATCTTAAGCAACAGTTCAAGCATATTGGGAATGCGATTTTCCCCATCGAAATGCAAAATTTTGCTTCAGGATTGACTTGCGTCAGGACCTCATCTAGTGATAGGGAGTGAAGTAGTCGAGCGTGTACACCGTTTCACGTATCTGGGGAGTCTCATCAGTGCTGGTGACTTGGTGACTGAGAGAAATCTCAGCACGGATACAGAAGGCTCGATTGGCTTTTGCCAACTTGCGTCATCTATGGAGTTAGCGAGATATCCGTCTACTAACCAAAGGTCGAGTCTACTGCTTAGCAGCTTCCTCCGTCCTACTATATGTGTGTGAAACATGACTAGTTAGAGTAGATGATATTCATTCGTTACTGGTATTCAATGATTGGTGTCTTCGAAGCATTGCTCGAGCAAGCAATGCAGTTGTTGGGAAATGGTTACTAGCTAAAAGGGTCGCGGACCAATTCAGTGAAGTGATGAATCTTCTACAGTTGAGGTGGTACATACCAATGGTTCACAAATATCTATTGTAAATACATTTTCACTATTTATATCATTTTATAAAATAATAATAATAATAATTGTGTCATTTATATTCAGGTAAAATATCACCTTGGACTGGACGATTCTATTCTCTGCTGGATCCAACTTATGCCAAGAATCATATACCAATTATTGCTTCTGTAGCTGAACATCAACCAACTTCTTGGAGTTGTTATTATTTTGATCTTCAATTCTTAACAGTAATGTTTCCTGGTAAGTTTACTAAAAAAACAAACACCTCCATTCAACATGTGAATAATAATAATAATAATTTTTTTTTCCTCTTCTAATTTTTTTTAGTTGGTTTATACTATTGTTTCCGGAAATTGACAGATGCTAGTATCTTTGCAATAATATATGGTATTACAAGTGTTTACTTTTCGGTTAGTTGAACGAATTGATTTATTATTGATTATGTTGTTGTTGTTGCATTTTTTTTCACTGCATTAACATGTATATAGTGATACTTACTCAGTCAGTCAGTCAGTCAGATGCAACGTAGAACTTCGTATGTAAGTACATCAGTTCATGTCGCCATACCATATCAGCACAGATATATATAATTGTCAATTCAAATCCAATAGTAGAAGAGGTAGTCAAGGTATTGGAAGTAATCGGAGAGGTTAGGATTAGAAGATATTATTCAAGAAGTATGATTCAGTGAGAAAAGTTTAGAAAGTCAAAACTAGAGGTGTTGAAGAATCCAGAAGATTAGTATTTGAGAGAACACAGAGAATAAATGCATCGGCGCCATTGCGAACGATTTTGAGCCATATCATTCAAGGTCTCTAACCATCGATTATTAACATCTCGCGGACCCCAATCAGGTAGTCGACAACTACCGACATGACTCAGTCCACTTGTCAATGACTTCATGAATTTGTGCCATGTTTTGGTTTGGCCGCCCCTAACTTTCTTCCAACCTACTCCTACACTACAAAACAAAGCTCGACGAGGCAGTCGGTGGTTAGGCATACGCAGCACGTGTCCCAACCACCTCAACTGATGAAGTTTCACCACTTCATCTATTGATCTGCCATTCTTACCTAGCACCCGTTTCCTAATAACTCACTCGGGTGTCCCAGGATATACGAGCAATACATTGAAGACACCTATGATCGAAAACCAGTAACCGACGAATATCTTCTACTCTCATTGGCCATGTTTCACAGCCATAAATTAAGACGGAGTGAACCACTGCACAGTACACTCGTCCTTTAGTCAGCAAACGGATATCTCGCCTTCGCCATAAGTGACGCAGGTTGGCAAAAGCTAATCGAGCCTTCTGTATCCGAGCTGATACTTACTACTACCTTGTTGTGTCTTTATCCGTTACCAGAATATCGATTCTGTGAACGTATCTGTGAGCCAACTAGAACGTCACTCCATTGAGGCACTAAAAGCTTTGTTGAGTCTTAGGGTTAGGGTTTCTTTCTCTCCTACCCTGCTCATTGAGTCCAGGACACAATAATCAACTTCTACTATGCAAATACTATATTTCGAACATACAACATGCTTTACCAACAGAACATACTCGACTGCATCACTATAAGAATTAGAAAACAACCGTTATACTTGATGAGCCAAAAGGTATATATATGTAAGTGTAGGGGAGACTTGGAATTAATTACGAATAGTAAGTAAACTGTATAATGGCTAGTTAAAGAGGTCAAACGAAAGCTGCTAATCTCAAAATCTAGTTATTCAATAGTAGAATATATAATAATAATAATAGTAATAATACGTAAGTTGGTTTAAGGAGTTATCATCTTTTCAATCATTGTTCTTCTACTACATGCCTGATTATTCGAACAGAAGTAGAGCGATCACACTTCAAACTTGCATTCTGGCGGTTAGAATCAACTGCTTTCACAAGTAACTCACTGTCTGTTGTATTTATCATGATAATCTGGTTTACTTGATGAACAACAACTGACGTACTATTGATTTATAGTAATTAATGATGAGTGATTGATTGATAGTCATTTCATTGTAATGACGACAACATGCTTCAAGAATAAATGTAATAGCTGGTTTTATTGCAACTGCTTCAATTAGATACTTTTTTTGTCTTCTAAACTAGTTAAGCCACACCTTATACGTCAGGCCAAATAATACTACAAGACTGATCAAGTTAAAGTAAACGAGCAGGAACTTGAACATGTAATGTGAGAAGGCAATGAGTCGGACTCTGCCGTCAGTGGTTAAACACACGTGACCATATGAGTATTTCGAGACGGTCAGTCAGTTACAACATAGAACCTCGCACGTAAGTACATACCACATTAGCATAGAGATGTAAACGTTAGTTCTGTGTCCGTGCTGAGATTTCGTCAGTCACCAGGCCATCAGCACATGAGACTCCCTAGATAAGTGAAGTGGTCTACACACTCGACTACTTCACTCCCTATCACTAGTTCAGCTGCCGCCGCAAGCCAATCCTGAAGCAATATTTTGTAACATGCTTGCATTGCTGCTTAGGGTGGTTAGAAGACTTCATTTTGTCAGCGTTTTCACCAAGTAGGACTGTGTCATCAGCATACTCTAAGTCAGTCTCCTGGTAGGAGGTCCACTCCTGAAAGGCCAGACGAGGATAAGGTTATATCTAGGAGCATGTCTATGACAAGGTTAAACAAGAATGGAGAGAGTGAACAGCCCTGACGAACACCGCTTGAAGTAAAGAACTCCGATTCTCCATAAGCTCTCTCTCGACCTTTAGTGTTCAAGTAGAGAGTTTGTATAAGGCTAACTTACTTCTTTGGTACTCTTCATACTTCTACTATCTCTAACGCTGTCGGATTCGAATTAACAATTACATCTCAGTTCTATTGTGGTATGGCAACTTGAACTCATATATGTATGTACAAAGTTCTATGTTGTAGCTGACTGACTGATCCTTTTTTATTTTTGATCATCAATCATTCCAGGACATATTCTATCATAGATTCTTTTGATATCTCATTATTACCAAGATTTTTATATATCAGATATAATATCTCTTGTTTTCTTTATAACTACTGAATTTCCTGTCAAGGAAATATATATATAACTCTTACAGTCATGTTAAGAGAAAACCAAGTTGCTTAAAATGTTCAGTTTTCAAGTGTATATATATATATCTTCTAATCTCTTTTTTTACTTATTTCTAAGGGTGTCATGGTTCGACTTATTCTAGTATTAGCACCAATCATGTGTATTTTGGGTGCAATTGGAGTTTCTGGAATATTGAAATCATTTTCAGTTCATCTTAATGTATCTGACAATCAAACTGTGAAAACACCAAGTAAACTGACCACAGCGAATGGATATCATCCATCTAATCTAAGCAGTAATAAACTTCATAAAAATGCAGTGCAAGATTCAACTTATCCATTTAAAAATACAGTAAGTTATTGTTTCTTTATTCTTGGTTAAAACTTTTGTAGAATTATTGATTAAGTTACAATTTTTCAGTCAGATTTATGGAGATCATTGTTTTTAAACATTGAAATCATAAATCAGTGACTGTTAGACCACCATTAGGAAGCCTGGATGCACGCTGCTGATAAGTCCCATATCAGAACTGGACGGCTGTCTTTCAGTGCTTCCAGGATTCTAATGTTGATCTAACAATGATTATTACTTCATCATTTCATTGTGTGAAAAAACACTAATCTCCATAACTCTGGTTGAAAAATAGTACAATGTGCTCACTAATTACTAGCTTCGTGAGGAAATTTTCGGATTTCTAGAGAGAGGGAACACGTGATCAGTGGAGTCCAACTCTATCGGGAGTAGGCAGTAATTACCAAGATCAATCAGAGTTAGACATCAACACCGTTGAATGCCGTCCTACAGTGTTCCAGAGGTTAGGCGTTCGCGCACAAGACCGAAGGTGCTTGGTTCGAAACCTACAAGTCGCAGTTGTGAAATTGCACTGCTGATGAGTCCCATACCAGTTAGAAACGGCCGTCCAGTGCTTCTAGGTTTCTAGTAGTGGTCTAACATGAATTGATTTGTGATTTCACTGTGTGTTAAGTTATAACCATAGACCATCTAGGCATACACGCTTGATTATGTCTGAGTATTTTGAGAAACTGACATAGTGTACTCTTGTGTACTTCGATTCACCATCACAACGAAATTGTCACTTTTAACGATAATAACATCATCTGATGCAGATGTATCCAGTTATTTCAATAAACAAACAATGTTTATAGAATGTATTAATAATGATAATTGTAATTATTATTATACTGCTGTAACATATTGTATTAACTTATCATCTAACTGTGTATGCATGCGTGTTTTTCTTTTCTAATCGTTACAGATAGCTTCATTTATGATTTTGCTTATGTGGTTCCTATTAATCTTATTCAATAAACATTGTATATGGGTTACATCATCGTCATATTCTCATCCATCGATTGTATTGGAAAGTTCCGATCATCATGGTAATCGTCATATATTAGATGATTATAGAGAAGCATATTATTGGCTTAGACAGAATACAAAACCTGTAAGTTGTTTAAAAATATGGTTATTGTGTTGTATGTTTTTGTGCGTGTGTGTGTGTGTGCGTGTATTTTGTCTTGTGTTGTTGTTTTCGTGTTTTGAACTAGATTTAACTTTCTTTTACTGAAACACGTATGCATTAATGATACAAAGAGTCAGGCACTTGAATATTAATGCACCCAAAACAAATTATTGAATTTGTGAGTAGGCTTGAATGTTGCTCAAACCAAAAAACTTGGTTTTTATTTTTACGGAGCTACACGTTTCAGCTTTTGAGCCATAAGTCTTATCTATAAGGCCTCGGAGCAACGTAAGCAGATGTAGGTCTTATGGTAGCCGGTAACCGACAAAAGGTTCGTCTCCCATTCGGTTCGTCAGGATCCTGGAGCCTATGTGGATTATTGGTTTGAAATCAGGGTTTTCCAAATTTCCTAGTTGGATCTTTCGTATCCACCTGATTGGACGTTCGCTTTTCATCCTGTCAACCATCAGGAACGCCCCCCTTCTACGAGAAGACAATGGGTAGGACGTGCTTTGTAGTGATTATATGGGCGTGGCCACTTAAGAGCATTTCGGGAGAGAGAAAGCGAACTCTGGGGGATTTGGTAATCATTAATATTAAAAAGAAAATTTTTACTCTAGCTTGTTTATGTCAATTCACTCAGCTACGATGTAGAACTTCGTACGAACGTATATCAGTTCAAATAGCCATACCACATTAGCACAGAGAGATGGAATTGTCAATTCAAATCCTGTAGCAGTAGAGGTAGTAGCTGTAATCAGAGAGACTGGATTTCGAAGATATTGTTCAATAAGTGAAATAAATTTAAAAAGAGATAAAATGGGTCCTGAGTTCATAAGGCCATAAGAGAACACGATGAGTGAATGCACCTGCGCCATCGCAAACGATTTTGACCCATGTCATTCAAGGTCCATGAGTCAGTCAGTCGCAACGTAGAACTTCGTACGTATGTACATAAGTTCATGTTGTCATACCACATTAGCACAGAGACGCAAGTGTCAAATCAAATCCCATAGTGATAAAGATACTAGAGGTATTAATGGTAATGAAGAATACCAGGGCTTGAAGATATTATTCAAGAAGTATGATTCAGTGAGATAAGGTTAGAAGGACAAAGGTAGAGGTGCTGACTAATCCAAAAGATTAAGATTTGAGAGACCACAACGAATGGATGCACTTGCGCCGTTGCAAACGATTTTGAGCCATGTCGTTCAAGGTCTCTAACCATTGGTGACTTTCGTCTCGCAGACCCCAAGGTCCATGAAATCAAGGATGATGTCACTGGGACTGCTAGGACTTAATATTTAACGAATAATATTAAACAATGCTTGGGTTAGGAATTTAGATGCTACATAAGGATGACAAATCAATCATTGAAACAATGAATCTTCATCAGTTGAGGTAGTTGTGACATGTGTTACGTATGTCTAACCACCGACTACCTTGACGACTGATATTGTCCGATGTACGGGTAGGCTGGAAGAAAGCCAGAGGCGGTCAAACCAAAACACGGCTCAAATCCTTGAAGTCATCGACTATCGGATTAAATCATTTTCATAGGTGTAGATTACTTGGTTAGGGTCCTTCAAACCACCGTGACCGTTGGTTAGAGATTTTGAATGACATGGTTGGTGTAGACTCGTTATATTCTTTGTCTTCTCAATTCATCATGATCGTTTCTCACTGAGATATACTTCTCTACCGATATATTCGATCCCTAATCTCTTCGATTGCCTCTCTAATACTGTTACAACCTCTACTACTATGGGATTTAAATGAACAATTCCATCTCTGTTTGCTAATATGGTTTAGTAACTTGAACCGACGTTAGGTACTTACCAAGTTTCACATTCCGATTGACTGACTAACTGTTTTGGTACTTTTAGTTGTGTTATACGATATGAATGGAATGGACCATTTTATTTAGTTTGTTCTTTGTTGTTACATGCCTTTCATCTGCTCTTCATTTTTATTTTATTTCATAACATCTATTTTCATGACTTGCTTTTTATGATTATTTAGGATGCTAAAATTATGTCTTGGTGGGATTATGGCTATCAGATTACAGCGATTGCTAATCGTACTGTACTTGTAGACAATAACACATGGAATAATACACATATTGGTCGTGTAGGTCAAGCTATGGCATCATCTGAAGAGGAAGCTTATGAAATTATGAAAGAATTAGATGTTGACTATGTACTAGTTATTTTCGGTGGTGTACTCGGGTACAGTTCTGATGGTAAGTAGTATTTTTTTTTCTAGGTATTCATAATATACGCTACTTTAAAAAACATGATTCATTCAAGGTTACTAACGCCTGTTATCCTCGATGAAGCATAGGCCACCGACCTGTATTCTACAACCTACTCTGTCCTTAAACTTCTTTTCCAGTTCTGTCCAATCGCTGTTCATTCTTCTCATATCTGTCTCCATTTCCCGGCCTTATGGTGTCCCTTGGCCCTCCTCCTTTCCTTTGTCCTTGAGGATTCCAAGTGAGAGCTTATCTTGCAATGCAGTCGGATGCTTTCGGCAATGTCTGTTCTGTTCACTTCCACTGCTTCTTCCTGATATCCTCCCTCACTGGAACCTGGTTTGCTCTGTCATTTAAGGATACATTACATTAAAAGTCACTTAGAAATTTGCTTTTAGTACATGGTTTTAACTGAACAAGGCTTCTACCATATAAGAGTAAGCTCAAGTGTGTGTGTGTGCACCTTTGAAGATTTTCGAATAAATGTTACTCAATGTGAAGAGCCTTGGGTTTAATTTTCTAAATTTTACGTAATGCTACTGAACAAAAAAGTGTGATTGATCTACGTTTCCTCTTGTTAAGTTATATCAGTAGTATGTTCCTATGTAAGACGAAACGATTGATGTACTGTATACAACCCAACAGGAACTGGTTAAACAAGATATACCCATTGTATTCTGGTCTGACGTAACAATTTATCATACATGGATCATAGATACTCTTATTCAAACAAATATATAACCAATAAAATCAGTTTTATCCAATATTGGACTTGAAAATTGTAACACCTTAATTTAACTATTTTCAGTCAGTCCATTAGTCTCGACTATTGATAAAGCTACAAAGGTGGTTATCACATTTAGGAAGTAATATCACACATTTTTGGAGATGGTGAAGAAAATTTGTAGCTCAGGTGAATGATTTTGGTGGTGTTTCGTTCTCTCTGAGCTGGATGTTTCGGTTGTGGAGCATTGATTGTTCTTCTGAACTATAACATCCTCAGTAGCACAAACTTCAGATTGAAGAAGTGAAGTATTCGAATTTCTCCACATTTGAACTGTAGCTTGTTCTGTTAATCTAGATTTTAATTGATTGTTACTGACCTTAAAGTTGTCGTTGCTTACACCTTTATCCTATTTATAAGCCCCTTTGATCAGTTTCTTGTTCTTATGTCTGCCTATAGTTTTTCTGATTGGTTAATAAATCTGGTCAATCTAGATAAGTTTGTTGATTGCTGATTTACCTGATTGCCAAGCTTTTAAAAATTCCCCAATGTTCTTTGTGCTCGCCCTGTCCAGTATTTCAATATAATTTCACTCTAATGTCTGTCCATAGTTGTCCTTATGTATTAATATAAGCGAAGAAATGTCGTGGCATTTGACTGTTAATTGATCTCTTTCTAACTTTATCTTACTGAATTATACTCTAACCTTCTCCTTTACTGCTAATATTTCTACCACTATTGGGTTTGAACTGACAATTACGTCTCTGTACTAATGCTGTATGGCAACGTGATTTTATGTACTCATGTACGAAGTTCTGTGCTGTATCTGTCTGTCTATTAATTGACATTCATGCAGACGAATCTGAAGAGGACGTCCATTTTGTTCGATGTAGTGTTTTACACTGTCTGAGTAATTTATTTTGTAAATGATATTTGGTTTTCCTTCCTTTGTCATTCTGTCCTTGAAGTGTTTCTGTTAATTTGTATGCTACACCTATTTCAGATGATCTCAGTAGTAGTTGTGTTGTGTAATTTCCGATATGTCGTTTTCAAATGGTCGAATGATCCATTTGTTTGTTCCTATCCTTGTTGTTGCTTCGGTTGATACTTTTATCGATGAAGTTGCGTGGATAGTCGTTCTTCTGGAAGATAGTCATCAGATATATTTGCTTCGTATTTTTTGTGCTGCCGTGGATCTTCGTTTCCTTGAACAAAGAAGTTTATAAACAGTTGATTTTGTGAATTCTTAAGAATTAGATCTGTATAGGTCAGCTTCCGAAATACTTGATTCTTCAGTTTTCCTTTGTCAATTCTGGTGATTAGTAGTACATCTTCGGAAATGATAGACTGTTGTTTGATTCCTTTCCCATCGTGAATTTAATGTCATCGAAGGAAGACTTTGTTGATCCGATTGTAAATGTTTGTTTTGTTTTACTGAAAATTTTATTTATTTGGTTGTACACAAGAAAATAAGTTAGTTAGTTAGATGCAACGTAGAACTTCGTACGTAAGTACATCAGTTCATGTCGCCATACCACATCAGCACAGAGATGTAATTGTCAATTCAAATCCAATAGTAGAAGAGGTAGTCAAGGTATTGGAAGTAATCGGAGAGGTTAGGATTAGAAGATATTATTCAAGAAGTATGATTCAGTGAGATAAGATTAGAAAGTCAAAACTAGAGGTGTTGAAGAATCCAGAAGATTAGGATTTGAGAGAACACAAAGAATAAATGCACCGGCGCCATTGTGAACGATTTTGAGCCATGTCATTCAAGGTCTCTAACCATCGATTATTATCATCTTGCGGACCCCAACCAGGTAGTCGACAACTACCGACATGACTCAGTCCACTAGTCAATGACTTCATGGATTTGTGCCATGTTTTGGTTTGGCCGGCACAAACGTTCCTCCAACCTAATCTTACACTACAAAACAAAGCTCCTCGAGGCAGTCAGTGGTTAGGCATACGCAACACATGTCCCAACCACCTCAACTGATGAAGTTTCAATACTTCATCTATTGATCTGCCATTCTTTGACAAGAAAATAAACGTGTATTTAATAATTTTTCTTTTCTTTCATAATATTAGATATCAATAAATTTATATGGATGGTACGTATAGCTGGTAGTACAGAAAAAGGTCGTCATGTCAATGAGAATGATTACTATACACCACAAGGTGAAATGCGTGTAGATGAAGGAGCTAGTTCAACATTGCAGAATTGCTTATTGTATAAACTCAGTTATTATCGATTTTGGGAAATGAAAACTTCAAGAGGTATGTCTTTTATCCTAGTTATCCAGTTTATACTTACTTACGTCTGTTACCCCTCAATGGAGTATCGGCCGCTGACCGCCGTTCTCTAACCTAGTTTACTACTAATATGATTTGTCTCACTCAGCCTTTGAACAAACTAAATCGCTCAATTCTTGTCAAGTTATCATTCACACATATTTTGACCCTGTCAGTTATTCGCGTATAACCTTGGCTTGTTTTCCTTAAGTGTATTTGTGCACTGCTCACTTCACTTGTCACATGTCTTGCTTATTTTTTTCTGACTATAAATATACCACATAAAGTTGGATCACTCGCTTTTATTTTGCTTTGCTCTGCTTTCCCGCTCTTTATCCTCATGTCTGTCGACTTGAGCAATTGCATGAAATAAACTCATCCAACTGAAAAATTATGCATAAAGGACAGCTCACAAGTTCGTTCCAAGTGAAGACCAATGCCGAGCAAGGTTGCTTACTCTCGCTCTCTCTCCTCCTGGTGATCGACCGTATTCTGTAGACGTCGACATCTGAGGTGGAAGCACGGGATAGCGTAGTGACCAACTGGGATGCAGCTGGACGACCTAGACTTCTCAGACAATCTAGCTCGTCTATCCCACACACAACAACGGATGCAAGAGAAGACAAACGGTGTAGCGCCAGCCTCTTCAACATTAAGTCTCACCATACAAAAAGAAGCAAGCGAAATTCCCCTGATAAAACACAACATGCGCAGACTGAATCACACTTGACGGAAAAGCTTTGGCAGATGTTTTGCAAACAATCTGTGTTTTCTCCAACGTATCTATCCCGTTCGATCTTGACTTCTTTGTACATTGCACATTGGTACAAATGTACATCAACTCAAGTTGTTAAGCGATATCAACTTGATGAAATCAAAATAGGAAATATTAATTGTGACTTAGTTGGTTACGTGTGCTGTTCTGAGGGCGGATGTAACTTCCCGCCTGCCCACATTTTGGTAGGGTGTTTCTTCAGGAACCTGGGAAAGAAGTTGAATTAGGGCTAGTTTTAGAGACCTGGCAGCGTGATCGCATAGCACAAGGGATAACTGCTTGAGGCCGACTGCACACACCCTTTTTATGAGAAGGTTTCGAAGTCGCAGTTCTGCTCTTAAAGTGGCCTTACCACCGGAGACGGAAATTCGTGAGCTAAGGTGAGGTGTGACAATTTTACTGCTGTCACACTCCTCAGCAGTCAGTCAGCAGTACGATTTTGCCCTCAGACCTTAAGTAGTTGATTTTAGTCTCATTGTTCTCTAATCGACCTTCCTGGCATGGTAGAACCTACAGGAACACAGATTCCAGCCAATATAGCTCGGTTGGGTCATCACGATAGGCAAGCCCAACCACCACGACAAGGTAGCAGCTACAGTCACGAACCAAAGGATACAAAGCAATCATAGTATAAATGCTGAGAAAGACGAAAACATGGTTCAAGAAAAAAAAACACTGGAACTGAAATCTTACCGGAAAAATATATAGTGTGGATAGATCGAAACCATTGTGGTAGACTGTGAGTAGTCATATATTATCGAAAGTTCTCTATCATTATTTTTAAACATTGATCTACCCTGCTCTCAACTTATTTGAAATTATCAAATCAAACAGTTAATTTAAATATAAAATCTATGCACACCTAATTGTTTCTTTCTTAAAACTGGTTTTATTGTTTTATACAGATAAACCATCTGGATTTGATCGTGTACGTGGTCAAGTAATTGGACATCGAAATTATGAATTACAAGGTTTGGAAGAGGCATTTACTTCAACCAGTTGGCTTGTACGAATATTTCGAGTGAAACCATATGCAAATCGAGGAGTGAATTAAATTCTTTTGTTTTTTGTAGTCTATTTTTTTCAAAAAAAATATATGATTGTAAAGGATAATGACGGTATATTTTTTTCTTCGACATTGACTTCAATTAGATAAAGAGAACTAAGAAATGTTGGCTCAGTCAGCCAATCAGTTGACTTACAGTATACAGATGATATGATTATATCTCGTAAAGACTGACAAGGTGTAGTGTTTCGTACACTTTAGGCAACATTGTAGTCAGTCAGTTACAACATAGAACTTCGTACGTATGTACATCAGTTCAAACTGCCATACCACATTAGCACAGAGGATATCATTGTCAATTCAAATCCCACTGTAGTAGAGGTATTAGAAGTATTAGCAGTAGTCGGAGAGATTAGGGTTCGAGTATATTATCCAAGGTGTATAATCCAGCAAAACTTACAAGATAAAGATATGAGAGAACACAAAGAACGGATATATTTGTACCGTTGCAAACGATTTTAAGCTATTTCATTGAAAGGTCTCTAACCATTGGTGACTTACGTCTCGCAATCTCGACCAGGTAATCTACACTTACCAACATGACTCAGTCCACTTGTCAGTGACTTCATGGATTTGTGCCAGAAACTTTCATTACGTGCGACAAGGCTCGGGAATTTAACCCTATTTGAAATTTTGTACAAAGATACATCAGAGAGAGGACAAAGAGTTACAGCTCTCTATCTCCACCTTCATTCAGATCCACAGTAAAAGAAGACGGCGTTACTTCGTATCGCTTACTTGATATCGATATTCTTTCCCAGATTTCTTCTGTCCGATGCCATTGTGATATCATTGTAGCAGTTCACCGAATATATGGACCGTAATATATTGTTATGTGATGATTTTTAATGCATCTGATTTGAACTTAATGAATTGTCTACAGTCTCCATTAACATCAATACGAAAGGTAACTTACACACAGTAGCAACATCATACGGAATTCTTTCGATGAATTTAACTGCAAAATCGTGCACTAATGACAGTTGACAGACCCGTTCGTGATGAAGACCGGTGTGTATCAGACAAAGTTGCTTACTATCACCATTTCTCTTTCTCCTAGTGATCGACTGGATTGTGAAGAGGTCAACATCTGGAGGGGAGCACGGTATACAGTGGACAGATAGGATACAGCTGGACTTCGCAGATGATCTGGCTGCTCTACCGCACACACAACAAATGTAAGAGAAGATGACCAGTATAACGGCAGTAAGTCTCAACATACATAAAGGGAAAAGATTCTCTGATGCAACACAACATGCGCCAACCAAATCACACTTGATATAGATACCTTGGAAGTTGTAATAACCTTTACATATCTTGGCAGCACCATTGACGAGCAAGGTGGATTTGATGCAGATGTGAAGGCGCAGATTAGCAAAGCAAGGGCTGCATTCCTAATATTGAACAATATCTAAAACTCAGAATAACTGTCCACAAACATCTAAGTCACAATTTTCAATTCATATGTCAAGACAGAGTTGTCTATGCAAAATACTTCGGATCCGTTTGCTAGACACTTAGCAACAACCTACCTTGGGAATAAATAAACCAGATCCCTCCAGCTGAGGAAGAAATTAGGAAAAAGCGCTGGAAGTGGTTAAGCCATACGTTAAGGCAAGCACCTAACTGTGTCACAAAGCAAGCCCCTACTTGGAATTACAAAAACCATAGGAAAAGGGGAAGGCCAAGGGACACATTACGCCGAGAAATGGAGACAGACATGAGAAGAAGAATGGATAGAACTGGAAAGGAATGAGTGGGACAGAGTGGGTTGTACAATATTGTTCGGCGGCCGATGCTCCATCGGGGTGTAACAGGCATAAGTAATTAAGTAGTGGCAACACAACATTAATAATTCTAAGTCCCAACAATGTGTTCAAACATCACGCAGATGACGATTACGTTTTATTATCTTCAAACCGGTGACTAGCAATAGGTTCGTATGCCATTTGTTCTCCCCCAGGATTCTGGGCCTCTGTAAACCCATTAGTTTGCCAGTTACAGTAAATTTCCTGTACCCACTAGCTCCGTTTGAGTTATGATCGGATATTCGGTTCTTCTGTTCTCATTTCGGTTAACAAAACTCACGTGACGAGTAGGCGATGAGTAAAACCTATCTGTCAGTGGCGCTACACACAGACGTAGCCATATCACAGTGCATTTCAAGAGAGATAGTGTGGAGACTCTGCCCCACTCTCAACTATAACAAGGCATTTGCAGTTACAAAAAAACGAAACAAAACAACACCAGTGAATCACCAAATTTTGTAAGATTTTATAATATTTAAACTTTGAATATAATACAATTTGGTTTAGAAAGAAGAAATTAATCCATTCAATTTATTTAACCAGCACACACACAAACAAAAAAAGAAATGAAGAGATGATTTTGTAGAGAAAAACTATAATCAAAAAAGAAAAGGAGCTTAATTTTTTGATGATGATGATGATAATAACATCACATCATAATGTGACATTAAAAAAAAAATAAGTAAATAAGCATTCCTGATGTTGCATTCATTCCAATTATTATGTAACACAAACATTTTCTTTTTAATTCTTAAAACAATGGAAATAATAATCAACAATTTACAAGTGAGAGAGAAGGCAAAAAAAATTAAAATAGACCAAATCATACACACAATACACAACTTGTACAGTACAATAATATTCACTTTTTATTTTGTTAATGAATGAAAGTATAGAAAGAAACAAAGAAGGCCATTTTATAGATGAGGAGAAAAAAAAGTATATTTTTTTTGAATAATAAGAAGAAGAGATTACTAACTACTATGAAGAACGCATTTTAATTGGTTTGCGTCGTTTTAATTCTTTTTGTTGGCTATTCTGATCAGTTTCTGTTTGATCGCTTGTATCTTCATCGTCACGTTTAACTAAGAGAATAAAAAAAAATGAACAAAAGTTTCATTTTTGCATAAATCCTAAGATACACAACTTATATGGTTGTTCATAGAAATAAGTTAAGCGAATAATACTAGTGCGTATATCATTAGTCAGTCAGTTACAAACGTAGAACTTTGCACGTAAGTACAGCAGTTCAAGTTGCCATACCACATTAGCACAGAGATATAGTTGTTGATTCAAATCCCATTGTAGTAGAGGCAATAAAAGTATTAGAAGTAATCGGAGAAATGGGGGTTAGAAGATGTTATTGAAGAAGTGTAATTCAGTGAGAAATACAAAGGTAGAGGTGCTGACAAATCCAGAAGATTAGGATATGAGAGAGCTCAAAGAATGGATGCACTTGACCCATTGTCTTTCAAGGTCTCTATCTATTGGTGACTTTCGTCTCGCGGACCAAAAACCAGGTAGTCTACATCTAGCAACATGACTCAGTCCACTTGTCAGTGACTTCATGGATTTTTGCCATGTTTTGGTTTGGCCGCCCCTACTTTCTTCCAACCTACTCCTAAATCACAAAGCATAGATCGTCGAGGCATTTGGTGGTTGGGCATTCATAACACATGTCCCAACAACCTCAAGGGATGGAATTTCACTACTTCATCTATTGATCTGCCATCCTTACCTAGTATTCGATGAATAATAGTTGCACTTGACAATCGTTACACATGGTGACACCAAATGAGTTATCTTCGCTGAGCGGGAACACACGTTGCCGAACCTTTGCATTACTCACACGATGTTGCCACTAAATGTCAACAGTACTTCGGTGATACCGAGGGTTGGTTCACAAGCATAGACAGAAACTGCTCTCACTAAGGTGTTGTAGACCCGACCCTTTTACAGCTAGACTAGCATCAAGAAGAAACCAAAAATGGCTTAGATCGATGCAGCTTTTATCAAACGTGAATGGATCTCATCACTTACTTAGCCACCTAAACACATGAACTTTTCAACTACTTCTATCTGGTCACTACTACAAATGAGTGCGGATTCAGGCTCCTGCCAGTCGTGTGAAAGTAATTTACACTTAGAAGGTGCAAAGTATATATCATACCAACGGACACTGATAATGTATACATTGGAATAACTCATTCTCATAAAAATACAGAAAAATCAACTAAATAACACAATAGAGTAACAAACACAACAACTCAATGAGGACATAGATGTATATTGTATGTTTGATTGGTTAGGAGCTTAAAATAGCGTAAGAAGTATGTTTATTTCGATGTGGGTTTGTAGGACCTACACATTATCTTTTCTTCAATAGGTCTTGCAGAAATTTGCTAGACATCAAAGCTCACAAGTAAAATTTGATGATTCTGATGATTTATAGACTACGTTCTAATTTATTGACTATTCCATTTTCGTCTAATACTTAGGTGACTGACTAATCAATATTCCCAGAAGGAATAATTAATCTGGCAATAATGTGAAGGAACAATATTTGTTATTGAAAAAGGATTTTTCAGTCTTTTGGACTTTCCCCACATTAGATGTTCTCTTTTTAGACTAAATTACACCTAAGAACAAAAACGTTTCAATAAATACACAACAAAGGCTCTAAGTTTGGATTTCCACAAAGGAAAAACGTAAACTCATATTCCTGACCTTAGCTGCTACCTTGACGTGGTGGTCAGGCTTGCCTATCGTAATTACCCAACCGAGGAACATATGTTCCTGAAGGTTCTACCATGCAAGGCAGTTGGACTGGAGAACGATGAGACTAAAAGCAGCTACCCAAGGTCTAAGGGCGAAGTCGTACTGCTGACTGTAGAGGGGTTTGACAGCAGTAAGGTGTTTCCCTCGGACAACCAGCATCTGCAGCGATGCTGCCTTCTCACAAGGAAGGAAGGGTTAGAGAAGGTCGACCCTGAAAATGTCAGACCTCCCCTACCTCACGGATTTCCATCTCTTTGGGCCCACTAAGGGCCTTTAAGAACGGAGCTAATCCTCAAAAAAAATTTCATAAAAGGGCCGTGCTTGACCGGCTTAAGCAGTTGTCCCTTGGACTCTGCGGTCACGCTCCCAGTGTAGTGAATGAGAACACAGGTGGAGGCAACCGAATTGTATTTAACGAAAATTACAGAGTTACTCAGTAAAATCGGAAAACCATATCGTAAATCGTTCATTTGCAAAGGATCAGTTCATCCCATGGAACTGGACTGTTCCTGTTGCCAAACATCAATCCATTGTCACTCTTCATGCGTTTCAAACAAATTCCATTGTTTTCTGACTCTTCCTTTCTTGATCTTCCCCCCATATTATGCTACCAGACTTTACGTTGACACTCACGCTATATACTACTTATAAGTAGTTCGCACCACAGCACCACACCAGGTCTCTGAGACCGACACTTATCTACCTTGCTTTTCAGGTTCCTCAAGAAACAACCTTCCACGGTGTGGGCAGCCGGGAAGTGACAACCGCACTCATACCCGTTACAGCACGCGAGACCGAATTGGTCGAAATCAAATCCTTCCAATTCATATTCAGTGTTATATAATATCAGAGACGCAATGATACCTGATTATTATACACTAATGAAAAACTGTGAATAATACAGCCATTTTATTAGGTAGTAAAGGAAAGTTTGTAACACTGATGATTGAGTACCTGTTAGTTTCATCAATCATTAATACATAACAATACATTACGTAAGAAAAAGCACTGGCATTTTAGCGGTAAGCGCGATACCTCTGATTTAGTGTTTGCGTTTATGAGGTTCTTAAATGATAATTTCATCTCGCCACCGGTCTAGACCATCACAAGTATATTCATGACTGCGCATATTTTATTAATTCTAACCATGTAAGTTTTAAAATTTAGTTTTTAATGGTAGTCAAAAGTGATTGAAGATTCTTTTTAATTATAAATAAAACCAACTTAGGCTAGCGAATTGCAAGTGCATCTTGTTGATGAGCGCCAACTAGCAAGAGACCTGAGTGCATGGTTTTCTGCCAACTAGCCTCAACGAACTACTACCATTTTGCACTACTGAAGTATGCTGAATTTTTAAAAATTATAGTATTGTTTTATGTCTGACTACACTAAAAACATCTTTTATCTAATCTTATGAATATTCCAAATGTTAAATAGAGTGTAGATGTGACCATATAGTTGTTAGCCCATATATAAAGAATAAAGAGAAAACTAATGATACCAGGTTGAGGTCCGCAAGACAATAGTGACCGATTGTTTGAGACTTGAATGATGATATGGATCAAAATCGTTTACAATGGCGTATATTCATCCATGACCTCATGAGCAGCTTAGGACCTTTGTTTATCTCTTTTTAAATTTATTCGACTGGATTATACTTCTTGTATAACTTATCCAAACCATAGTCTTGTCCAGTATATCGCCAATACTTCTACTAAATCTACCACCATAGGATTTAAAATGACAAGTTGATCTCTCTATGTGATAATGTGATATGGCAACTTGAACTGATGTACGTATGTATGTATGTATGTACGCAGTTTTATGTTGTAACTGACTGAATGGTTCGAACACATAAATAAAGAAACCTATTGTTAGTGAGACATAGATTGGATTAAAGCATGATTGCGTTGTTGCACGCTGATTGGCTCTTTCGTACGCAATCAGCGCTAGCCGATACTGAGGGAATATTCTATATATATATATATATATATATATATATATATATACTAACGCCTTTTTCCTTTGTAACTTTTGACTTCCATCTAACCTTGTTATTGGAATTTCAATATATTTCCTATTCAATTGTGTTCTAATTTTAAGAGAACGTCTACAGTGAAGTAGTGTCCAAGAAAACTAAGCATTATGAATAGTTAGGTTGTAATAAAGAGAAACAAGTAAATTATAACGTCTATCATATGGCATAGTTACATAGTTACACAAAATAAGAATGTACCTTTTTTCTTATCCTTTTTCCGTTGCGCAGAATCGTGACTACTAAAGAACCAACTCTTAGAAGTAGTATGTGAATATTGTTTATCTCTACGATGTCGTTGATGAAAAGTTATGAAATTCCACACCATTAAAGCTTGTGCAGTGAAGAAAAATAGCATTGCAGCAATCCTGTAAATATAAATTACACTTACACTAAGCACAATAGTATGATACATATATATATATATATATATATATATATATATATATATAAATCATGCAACAACATGCGTCTCAGTCCATGCTGACTTTAAAAATCTTATCAAATGACATGGTATGCTCTTCCATGTCGTTCAACATATATTCTAAGGCTACTTACTTTAGAATAGTTACAACAAACAATGGTTGGATATGATTAAAACATATTGTAGTGAACGAGAACACAGGTGGGGCAACCGAATTGTATTTAACGAAAATTACAGAGTTACTCAGTAAAATTGGAAAACCATATCGTAAATCGTTCATTTGCAAAATATCAGTCCATCATATCGAACTGGACTGTTCCTGTTGCAAAACATCAATCCATTGTCACTATTCATGTGTTTCATACAAATTCCATTGTATTCTAACTCTTCCTTTCTTGATCTTCCCCCATATTCTGCTGCAAGACATTACGTTTAAGTAGCTCGCACCACAATATAACTGCATTAGTCAATATAAAGACGGACAATCGACGGAGTTACTGACAAGTGGACTGAGCCATGTTAGTAGATGTAGACTACCTGGTTAGGGTCCACAAGATGATAGTAATCGATGGTTAGAGATTTTGAATGACATAATTGAAAAACTGTTTGCAATGCCGCAGGTGCATCCATTCTTTGGCTTCTCTCAAATCCTAATCCTCTGGATTCTTCAACACATTTCGCTCTTTAAGTTCAATTCATTAGATTATAGTTTTTGAACAATTACTTCGAACCCTAATATTCTCCATTACCGCTAATACTTCTACACTACCTCTACTATTATGGGATTTGAATTGACAATTACGTCTCTGTGTCAATGTGGTATGGTAACTTAAGCTGATGTACGTACGTACGTACCAACCTTTAGATTGTAGCTGACTACAAGATAGACAATCGGTCAAATTATTTCACTTAGTACTCAACATGTTAAATAAGCATAGCATACTACGTGATATGAAAAGTAATCTTATTAAACCATTATTTATAACCTTTTAAATCATCTTTTTTTAGGAAACACAAAATTTAGTTGTGTTGATCTTAATAGATTATACAATAGGCATATGAATCAATACACGCAGATTACAAGTGATGAGAATTATTCATTTGGTGTTAAAATCACTAATATTGAGGTACCGGTACAAATTGGTAAAATATTTAATACTATTAAAAAGTATGATTAGTTAAGTACAAATTAAATGAAGTGAAAAGGAAATAAAAACATAATTTTTAAGATAAAGAAGAACGTGTATATTCAAGTATGAAACAGAGACTGAGATAGATGATAAAGAATCTCCAACTAATAATTAGATTTGTAAGTCAAAAGCTCAGGCAGTGCACCACCGCTTAAACAAATCACTTACTTCAGGTGAAGCAGTATCCCAATCAACATACAAATTTAATTATTTGTGCAGTGCATTAATATTTAGCTTCAGTTATCTTTTCCATCTCTTTTGCCTTCACTTTTCACCACTGTTCGCGATCATTGAATAGACTTTTTATCAACCTATGTTTAAGCTACTTCCGCTCTTCATCGTGTTTAGAACCAGGCAGGATGAGTTTTCGAGCTACTGAGATCCACAGCTTATCCCTAAACTTATAGTTTACCTTACTAGTAGATATCACAGCTGTTTCCACAGCTTTTTGGATATCGTACTAAGCTGCGTCGGAGTGGGCATCACTTATATGGGCTGTTCAACTGTTTTTCTAATTGCTCCTGTAATATACTCTTGGCTTTGCTATTGTTAAGTAGAACTTTAAAGAGTTTCTTATCAGTGCCTTTTGTACATTCAGCAAGCCACAGACAAACACTTGCTCATACTAGGACACATACCGAATCTAAACGTGTGCTCAAGAACGAATGGCGGTCTTCTACCGACCCGCTCTATCGGTGGCTGATAGTAATGGGGTAAAGCTGGGTCTAGCATTGAGTCGATTTTGGACATCGCAATCTAAAAACATGTTTATCTTTATGCCTGAATTTAGTGTTTACCAGAAATAGGAGGTTATCTGTGCATAGCTGCAGCAGACGGTCGCCATTATCTGTTTAATCAGCCGCAATACCATAAGGTTCACTTACGTGACTTTCAGTTTCGTTTAGTCTACCTACTTGAGCATTAAAATCACCAGCCACGACTACTGCGTCAGAGCACTTAGCTTGTTGAAGAAAGTCCTCCTTTACCTCATTTGGGCTGTAATCTGTCGAGGCGAAGGCGGACGACGAATAGGCAACAGCAAGTATAGCAGAAACTCATCTCATTTGGCTCTGAAAACGATCATAGGCACACAAAATCTTACGCAATGATCACGAACAGTGGTGGGTGAGAAAGCAAAAGGGATGGAAAAGGCAGCTGTGATAAGTAGCAGTAGACACCTATTCAGATTTATCAATGAAAGTGGTATTAAGAATCCAGGAGTAAGTGGGAAAAGATGGGACTATTATTCAGTTTCAACACACGAGATTGAATAGATGGGTAGAATACTTTGAAGAGCAATTCAACTGGCCTTCAGCCACACTGGTTACCCACGACAGCCAATCAAGTTGCACGACAGGTTGACGTAAATCCTCCGACTCTTAATTAAGTTGAAAAGGGTATAAGAAATGTAAAATAAAAGAGAGCAGCGAGCGCTGATGGACTGACCCTTGAGATTTTTAAGGATGGTGGCCAGCTAGATTGACTTAGATCTTAGGCAGAATCTGGGAGCTGGACGTAATCCCATGTGACTGATCTCACTGATAGTCCCAGTCTATAAGAAAGGACAAGAGTCCTCTTGTGACAATCACAGGAAATCAGTCTAACGAATATAGTTTCTTAGACAGCTAACTATAGCTCGTGAAGAGCAGACTAGAGAAAACCAGGCTGGTTTCAGACCTAGACGTGGATTTATAGACCATATCCTCACACTACGACAGGTCCTGGAACACAGACATGCATTTATATGTTCGAAAACAGTTGTCTTCCTGGACCTTAGGGCGGCACTCGACTCTATCAATAGTGAGGTTCTGTGGCAGTGTCTACCACTAAAAGGTGCATCAGAGCAGTAAATTAACCTTATACAAGCACTCTACCCGAACACTAGAGGTCGAGTGGGAGTTATGGCGAACTGTCATCGGAAGTGATTACTTCAAATAGTCTTCACAAGAGCTGCCCAACTTTTCCTTGCTTGTTTAGCTTTGTCAATGAAATGCTTTTAGATAAGAAACTTTCATCCCTTGAATTTTCCGAAATGAACATTCTATCATGTTTGCGTGTTGGCTAGTAGTATAGAGATGATGTGGTTCTAGCTCGTGAAGACTGAAAAGTTGTAGTGTTTCGCACACTTTAGGCAACATTGTAGTTTCTAAATTTTTAGCCTCGATAATCCTTAGACGCCTAACTATAGCTTGTAAAGAGCAGACTAGAGAAAACTAGGTTGATTTTCGATCTGGACGTGCATGTATACACCAAATATTCACACGCCTACGATTGAGGAGATCAGTATGGCCATCAGACAAATCAAGAACGGCAAAGCAGCAGGACCAGACAACATTCCAGCAGACTCAATGAAAGCAGATGTAGAAGCAACTGCGAAAATACTTCACATCCTCTTCAAGAAGATTTGGGATGAGGAACAAGTACCATCAGACTGGAAGGAAGGATACCTCATCAAAATACCAAAGAAACGCGATCTCAGCAAGTGTGAGAACTACAGAGGCATCACTCTTCTTTCAATACCAGGCAAAGTCTTCAACAGGGTATTGTTAAACAGAATGAAGGACTTCGTAGACGCCCAACTTCGAGATCAACAGGCCGGATTTCGTAAGGATCGATCGTGTACTGACCAAATTGCTACATTACGGATCATTGTGGAACAATCAATTGAATGGAACTCACCACTCTACATCAACCTCATCGACTACGAGAAAGCATTCGATAGCGTGGACAGGAAAACACTGTGGACTCTTATTCGACACTACGGGGTGCCTGAGAAAATAGTTAACATCATACGGAACTCTTATGATGGATTCAACTGCAAAATCGTGCACGGAGGTCAGCTAACCGACTCTTTCGAGGTAAAGACCGGTGTCAGGCAAGGTTGCTTACTCTCACCCTTTCTCTTTCTCCTGGTGATCGACTGGATTATGAAAACGTCAACAGCTGGAGGGAAGCACGGTATCAACTGGACAGTTAGGACGCAGCTGGACGATCTGGACTTCGCAGATGATCTGGCTCTTCTGTCGCACACTCAACAACAAATGCAAGAGAAGACGACCAGTGTGGCAGAAGCTTCTGCAGCAGCAGGTCTCAACATACATAAAGAGCAAAGAAATATTCTGCGAAACAACACAACGTGCACCAACCAAATCACTCTTGAAGGAGACGCCTTGGAGGACATTAACACGTTTACATATCTGGGCAGCATCATCGACATTCAAGGCGGATCGGATGTGAGGGCGCCGACCGGCTAAGCAAGGGCTGCATTTCTACAGTTGAAAAACATCTGAAACTCCTAACAAATATTAATCAACACAAAAATAAGGATTTTCAATACAAATGTCAAGACAGTTCTAATGTATGGAGCGGAAACATGGAGAACTACCAAAGCCATCATCCAGAGGATACAAGTGTTTATTAACAGCTGTCTACGCAAAATACTTCGTATTCGTTGGCCAGACACCATCAGCAACAACGAACTGTGGGAGAGAACAAGTCAGATTCCAGTGGAGGAGGAAATCAGGAAGAAGCGGTGGAAGTGGATAGGACACACTCTAAGAAAAGCACCTAACTGCGTCACGAGACAAGCACTCACATGGAACCCTCAAGGCAAAAGGAAAAGAGGAAGGCCAAAGAATACATTACCTCCACTCAAACACTACTGGTCGAGTGAGAGCTTATGGCGAACTGTCATCTGAATTCTCTACATCAAGTGGTGTCCGTCAGGGCTGTCCACTCTCTCCATTCTTGTTTAACTTTGTCGTAGGCATCCTCTCAGAGTTAACATTAAGCTCGTCAGACTTTTCAGGGGTTGACCTTCTACCAGGAAAATTGCTTACTGATCTAGAATATGCCGATGACATAGTTCTATTCGGTGAAGACGCTGACAAAATGCAGTCTTCTGACTACCATAAGCAACAATGCGAGCATGTTCGGGATGCGGTTCTCACCCCCGAAATGCAAAATGTGGCTTCAAGATTGGGTTGCATCACCACCTAAGGTAGTGATAGGGAGTGAAGTAGTCGAGTGTGTAGACCGCTTCACTTATCTACGGAGTCTCATCAGTGCTGATGGCCTGGTGACTGACGAAATCTCAGCACGGATACAGAAAGCTCGGTTGGCTTTTGCCAAATTGCGTCACCTATGGCACAGGCGATATCCGTTTGCTAACCGAAGGTCGAGTGTACTGTGCAGCAGTTCGCTCTGTTCTCCTATATGGATGCGAAACATGGTCGGTGAAAGTAGAGGACATTCGTAGATTGCCTGTCTTCGATCATAGGTGTCTCCGAATCACTGCCCGTATATCCTGGGACAATCGAGTAAGCAATGCTGTCGTTAGGAAACTAGTACTAGGTAGGGATGGAAAATCAATAGATGAAGTATTGACACTTCGTGAGTTGAGGTGGTTTGGGTATGTGTTACGAATGCCTAACCACCGACTGCCTCGACGAGCTATGTTTTGTGGCGCAGGAGTAGGTTGGAAGAAAGCTAGAGGCGCCCAAACCAAAACATGGGAGAAATCCATGAAGTCACTGACTAAAGAACTGAGTCATGTTGGCAGATATAGACTACCTGGTTGGGGTTCGCGAGATGAAAGTCACCAATGGTTAGAGACCTTGAACGACATGGCTCAAAATCGTTTGCAATGGCGAAACGCATACATGCTTTTTGTCCTCTCAAATTCTGACTTTCTGAATTCCTCATCATTTCTATGTTTTTCTTTCTAAATTTATCTCACTGAATTATACTTCTTGAATATTATCTTCAAATCCTAATCTTCTCCATTATTAGTAATTCTTCTACTATATCTACCACTATGGGACTTGGACTGACAGTTGCGCCTCTGTGCTAATGGGGTATGGCAACCTGAACTGATGTATGCATGTACGAAGTTCTGCGTTGTATCTGTCTGTCTTCGGTGAGGTGAAAGTTTCAAGCCAAAATGGAAATTAGCGCTAATTTAATTGAATTACTTACGTACTTTTAATATTTTACGAAAGATAACTTAACTTTAGTATAGAAACTTATATTGTTTTATTCTAATTGTTAGAAATAATATATGGAAAGATATTTCAGCTTAAAGAGTAGCAAAAAATACAGACCTGAGTGAGGTGTGACGTAAATGAATCTAATAAAAACATGACATACCTTATGGACGGAGTGTTGAAGTTCCCCTCGGTAATATCGACCAACGTTATCGAATTTTTTCCTAGACCATGGCTAAGGAAAGATATAATCAACTAAAACTTACTGCAAAGTAAGAAAACCAAGTATCACGCATGCCATCCTCACCGGTATAAAAGTCAAATTCCATATGGTAAAGCTTAACAATATAAATAATATTGAACACCTACCCAATGGATGCAAATTTGTACTCCGAAAGGTGCAATGCCCGAGAAACATGCAAGAAGAAATCAGTACTGTAGTGAAGAATGAGAATAACCATACATAATTTGGTCAATCTAAAATATATTTCTATATCGATTTTTTGAATACATACCCTCCAACATAAGCCAAAGAAATACCGAGAAGATATATCGTTGCATGTAAAAGTCGTGCAGGTATGAGTTCCTGCAAAATATGTAATTTTTAAACATGTTGCTTACATTCTTGACACGTTGGAAATATAGCTCCGGATAGTCGTGAAGCCAATAGCAAATCTGCAAGTAATAATTGGTAAAATATCATCTCACTTGAGTGACGAAAAACAACTTAATCCAAAATGGCAACCACCTTTGGGGATAATTATCCCACAGACTGCTCAAGTTTTCTATAAAACCTTCATTAATAATACTGTAAACGGCCCAAGCTGTGGACAAAGCATAAAAGCATGCAAGGTGAGCTGATTCGTTGAATTTAGCTAGTCGGACCTTTGTCAAACTTAACTTTCGAGTCACTTTCTGAATGACATATGTTATTGATTCTCAAAAACCTACGTCAAAAATATACTCTTGAAGTACAGCATGGCACACGATACATATTAGGGTGTAAAAAAATATTACGCATAAATCTTTTGCTCCTGGACTGTATAATAAGGCATTTTCTTGGTCTAAAATCGTAAGTTGAAAACCTGAAAAGGCTTACGTTCATCGGTGTTATTGTACTGTATGAATATGAACGATGAAGACAAAACATGAGTCCCCTAATTTCAATAAAATGTTATATACTTCATCAAACCTTGTGCAGTAAACCAACGATGATTATCATTGCCAAAACGCTAACAATGTCCCCATGATTTGTGATAATAAACTCATGAGAAAAATACGGGGGATTTTTCGACTTCTTGCGGCCAAACCTACTGTTCATTACTTTGCTGCAACGTAGATCGGAAATTGATGTTAGCGCAGTAACACGAAGACCTTAAGATGTGGCTGAAAATTGTTCAAATGCATTCAATTCCCAATAACAGATATCTCCAAACTAGTATGGATAGAATAAAAAACTTGTGCCTTATAAGTTTCTCTGTTTATTGATGATGAACCACCAACTCTGCCGGAACTGACCTGACAAAGCTGGAAATTATTATCATTTTTGGAAGTGTCCGGTTTTCTGAAGTTCAATGCAGTCTTGACGAACTTATGTCATTCAGTTCAGAGAAGCTTTTTACTGTTAGGGAGCTGAAACTACCCATTTAGTCCAGTTCATCCGGCCGTACCTCCAGTCCTCGAGTCTCCCCCTGAGATTTGTGCTCAGAATGAGTTTCAGTCGGTATACTATAGGGTAACTTTGGGGTGGAAGGTGCTCTAACTTATCAGAAGTTATCCTCTTAATTAACTTCACCATTGTTAACATAACTGGGGAACTTCATCCCGTGTGATCTTCACCCGGTAGTCGGAATATGTCCTCGGTGACGGAAGGGAATTATTCTACTTATGTTCCTTCTAGAACTGCATAAAAATGTCGCTGATGTACGAGGATTGACATTGATTTCTCTTGAAAATGCCTCAAAATAAAGAATCCTGAACATGGTCAGACCAGATTTCAGGAACGAAGTAGTCTGAAGAAATATTGGGAGGATAGTTGCTATAATCAAGAAGTGTTTAATTTAAACTAGCTAGCTGTTGATAAGAGATATGTATCGTACACACTGATGATCTGGTGCGGATGCGCGGTCGAGCTAACTCAACTGGGGTTCTTCTATCAGAACGAATAACTTCAACCCTAATATCGGTGATTCACACAGATACTTATTTGGGGGACTTATTTACTGCTACAGGTAAAAGAGTTTGGCTTATCATGGAAGTTACCCTTTGCGCCCACAATACCAAAATGCGCGTCATACTCGTATTCCCCTCATATCTCATCGGACTGCACTAGCTGTAAGTAAAGTGATTGGGGGCTATCTGAGTAGGCTTCATTTCTTAGTCTGACTACCTTTCTTTCTTTCTTTGAACACGTCCTAGTAGAGCAATATCCCTGCTGGACTAGAAGGAGATCATGCTGAATTTTTTTATCAGTGAGTTCCGAGACAAACACGGAAAAGTGTTTAAGATCATTCTAGGCTCAATTTAAATAACGTTTCTGAACTATATCAAATAACAGAGTGTGCCTTGTCGGATGCATCATATCGAATTTGTTTTATTTTTTATTTTTCAAATTCTTTCATATTATCTCTAAAAATTTACGGAACCTTTTTATTCAGTAGTTAGGTTTTTAAGTAACAAAAGAGAATAATGTTCCTCGGCCAATCACATTTTATCCAAAATGTGAATCTGATAACCTACGATGTATTTGCTCTACCATTCCGAACGTTGTCTCGGACACTGACAACGTGTTCTTGAGTACTTTTTAGCCGGTAGAGTTCCAGTAGTTTGGAGCGTTAAAGATCGCCTTCAGAGATTAAGAGAGGCCAACTTATTGCTACTTTTAGGTTCGTGATTCCCAGTTTTATAAGAATCATAAGCCTCATATAAAAATTTTCATCTTTGCGAAATGGTCATACAAGAAATAACACGTACTAAAAAGGCAATCGCACAGGAAAAGCGTGCTGTTCAACTGAACAATGAATCCTCTGAACTCATAAAACTCCTTCGGAATAAACTCAAATGCTTCAAAGTGAAAGGAGGGAGCATATTTTTTAAGGACAATCAAGTGTATGACGACCCTAAAAGTATCGCAGAGTTGTTTAGCGAACATTTTTGTGTCGAATTTGTTACGTCCAATTTATTGCTCTTTGATCCTTTGAAGCACAGTTGTCGATCTATTTGCAATTCACGATCCCAAATATTAAACCAAAAGGAAATTCCAAAGTAGATACCAAAGTTTATTACTAATTCACCAATAATCGACCCAAATGTGTTTATTACAAATAGACGACCAATGTCGTTCTTCTATTTTATAGGTTTCTGGAGCAAAAAATTGCAAACGAACAACCAAGACAAACAGGAGTCCAAAATGGCCGAAAATAATAATTCAAACAAGTTCATAAGTTAAGTAAAACAAATGTACCCAAAAAACACAGTGAAATTAATGATATTTATATATAAAGGTTTTGATCAGCAAAATGTCTTCATTCCTCCCGCAACACTCCCGACCAAAAGAACCTTGGTTCTTTTCACCGACAAAATTAGATAACAACAATCCAAGTATGTGTATCACAAGCAATCAACAACAAACATGCAATATTTCAAAAATCTCGTGATCCCTAGGACTTACACCAGTACGCCTAGGGATCCGAGTAGCTACCTACCATCTACCGCTTCAAGAAGACACAGTTTACGTATATCTCTTACTAGGATTCCCTTTCTCGTCCTTAGTTCTACCTGTCTCACTAGTCTGTCCTTACTTGGTATCACTCTCTGTACTAGACCTAAGGGTCATTTTTTTTTCTCAGAGAAGTCGGAACATATCATTACTAAGTCACCTTCTCGTATGTTCCTCTCTAACTGTGTCCACTTGTATCTACGCTGCAACAGCGAAACATATTCCTTTGACCAACGTTCCCAAAATACTTGCGCCAGGTAACTCGCTTGCTTCCATCTCTTAGAATACCTGTCATTAGATACAGTGTTGGTAAATTCTACAACATTCTCTCTCAATAGTAATAGTTTTGCTGGTGTTATTGCATCAAGATACTTTGAGTCGTCTGTAACGAGAACCAAAGGTCGATTGTTTATTATACGCTCCGCCTCTATCATAAAAGTTTCAAGGCATTCATCTGTTAAAATTTGTTCCTTTACAAAAGCACCCAATACCCTGCGTACAGAGCGAATCATACGCTCCCAAAATCCTCCCCAATGACTAGCGGCTGGAGGATTGAAATGCCAGTCAATTCCCCTTCTTAGTAAATCAGAGTGTATACGCTCCTGTACCCAACCTTGAAGACATTTTCTTAATTCACGTTCAGCTCCCACCAAATTTGATCCATTATCACTATATATCTCTTTTGGATAACCTCTTCTGCCGACAAATCTCATTAGTGCGATGACGAATGAGTCGGTGGTAAAACTATATGCCACCTCCAGATGCACAGCTCTCAACCTTAAACAAGTGAATACACAACCGTACCGCTTCTCAGTATTTCTACCATGTTTAACCATAAGGGGTCCAAAATAATCTACTCCAACTGATAAGAACGGATAGTCACCACCTTCTATCCTGATCGCAGGTAATGGTGCCATTAGTTGTTGAATTGGATGGGCGTTCCTCCTTTTACAATAAACACAATCCTTTATCACTCTCCTCATGGCTACACCACCCCTCAGCACCCAAAATCTTTCTCGGACCGTTGCCATTACCTGTGTAGCTCCGACATGTCCCTCCAAAACATGGTAGTACCGTAGAATCAAATCTGTAATTGTATGCTTCGATGGTAATATTATAGGATGCTTCCTCGACTCAGACCAGGAACTAATTTGAAGGCGGCCACCGACACACAATAAACCGTCTATAATTATTGGATTTAAGATTCGTAAGGGTGAATTTATTATTTTCACTTTGCTAATGGTATCAGACGACAGCATTTCAATCTCTTTCCGAAATACTATGCTTTGGACATATCGAATTAAATCTAAACATGCTAAATCTAGCTCATCAACTCTGAGCATACCCACCTGTAGAGACAGATCATTTCTGCCAGAATACATTATTAATAAATATCGCTTAAATCGGATCAACCATGCAACAGCCTTAAGTAATCTAGTCCAATCTGAATAATAATTAATAAGTAGATCAACAGTGGATTCTCCAACTATTACATGCGTGGACATTACCTTCTTTAATTCTAAGAGATGGGGTTCAGGACCTTGTACATCCGCATCAGGCCAATACTCCTTTGACTTCTTCAAAAAATGTGGTCCCTCCTCCCATACCTTGACATCATCAATGTTGAACTTGGCTCCTCTGGATGCAAAGTCTGCTATGTTTTCCTTAGAAGGTACAAATCTCCATTGGTCCACCTTTGTAAGACTGTGGATAGTCGAGACCCGGTTTGCTATGAATGTTTTAAACTGGCTTTTCTCATTTCTAATATAGTGTAAGAGAATCATGGAATCCGTCCAAAACACAACTTCTGCAAACTTGATAGCTAACTCGGACTGCAGCTGGGACCCCATACGCGCTGCCAACACTGCTGCCGTAAGTTCCAAGCGGGGTATAGTTTGAATCTTTAAGGGGGTTACTCTTGCCTTAGCCGTAATAAGACGAGAACATATTTCAGTGTCATCGATGTAAGAACGGATGTATGCCACTGCCCCATATCCAATTTCCGAGGCGTCACAGAAAATATGAAGTTCCAGGAGCGAGCGATCTGACTGTGGGAATAATACACAGCGTGGAAAACTAACGTTCTCAACCTTCTGAAATCCACTTAAAATCTCTAACCAGCGTTTGCCTTCCTCACTTGGAATCTCTTCGTCCCATCCTAGTCCCAATTTACCTAAACGTTGAAGTAACTGCTTCATAGGAAGTGTGAATGGTGCTAACAATCCCAAGGGGTCGTATAATGAAGCTACACTCGACAATATACCTCGCCTAGTGAGAGGGCATTTCGGTATGCGAACTTTAAATTCAAACGCATCAACCATAGTATTCCAAAATAATCCCAATGTGCGTTCCGTAGGAAATCTCTCAAAGTCAATCTCTTTTACGGCTTCTGCTCTCTCTTCTGGATGAATTGATTCGAGGACCTGTAAACAGTTACTTATCCACTTGGTAAGTCTGAACCCACCTTTTCTGAGTAGTAAACCAAGGGTTTTTGCAAGCTCGATTGCATCCTGCACATTATCAATTGATGTTAAATAGTCGTCGACATAGAAACTCTTATCTACAACTTCCTGGACATCTTTATTCAATTCCTTTCCGAATATATCTACCGTCTTCCGAAGAGCGAAACTAGCGCAAAAGGGAGAGGACACGGCTCCAAACGGATGAACTGTCAA